AAGGAAAATAACAAAAGATTGAAAGGGCTATGGGAAAACAGGCACATTAATACACTATTGGAGCAGGCCATTGGCTCATCCATTCTGGAAGGCAATTTGGAACTATGCCCCTGAATTACTAACCTGTGTGTGTCTTTCACCCAGTGATATCACTACTTCACTGTGACCCCAAAATTCTGATCCACAACAAATGGACACTGAGGCAGGACTCTGAGGAGTCCTTTTTTCATTGAAAAAAAGTGGAATTAAAAGGAAAAAATGGGTATAATACCACTTGTACTTCCCACATCACGAGATTTTTGTGACACAAGTCCTTTAAAAAGCTAAAAGCACCATAGAAGTGCAAGCTATTATTATTTTTGTTGTTATTATTGTCATCATAGGGAGGCAGCCTTGGTGTTTGGGTGGAGTGCCAAACTCAGACCCAGGAAGACCTGGGTTCAAGTCCAGCCTGTGATACCTGCTGGCAGTGTGGCCCTGGGCAAGTCAGTTAACTTCTCAATGGTCTAGGCCTGAAGTGTCAAAAATAGGACCAGAACCAGATTAAAATGTAATTGGGAAATATTTAACAGAATAAATAAAAAAACAGTAGAACACAGACACCATTACATTTTAAACACCAAGTCAATATACTGCCATCAAGGATTCTTATGTCCATGCCTGTGGCCCCAGTTTCTATTTTGAGTTTGACACCATTGCTTGAGGCAACTCTACTACCTTAAGTTTCAGAGAAGGGACAATCTGCATTAGTAGAGGGAATGTAGTTTGTCCTGGTGGGTGTTTCAGAAGTTTCAGGGTCTTCCCCTAAAGTGCTGGAAGGGACCTTAAAACACAGAATGGCAAAGCTGGGAGGGACTTTCAATCATAGCCTATGAGAGCCAAAAAGGAACTTTGAACTTAGAGTGAATGTAACAGGTACAAGAGAATTGGACACCCAGAATGTAGACTGTCAGATATTGTGAGGACCTTAATGTAGAAAGAGCCAGAACTGAGAGAGACCAGGGAATGCCAGAGCCAGGAAGGGACTAAAACCCTAGAACAGAGAATGTGAGAGATGGGAACAAATACAGATCTTAGAATATGAAATGGATGAGCTAGAAGGGACCTTAGAACATGGAATGTCAGAACCAGCAGGAACCTTGTTACATGGAATGTCAGAACTAGAAGGAAACTTAGAACATGGAATGTCAGACCTGGAAGGGGCCTGGGGACAGAGAAGGTCATGCATGGCTTGGGGGGCACATGGAATGTCCAACCTTGAAATGGACCTTGGCCACTTCAATCCCACCTCTTTTCTGAGAAGGAAATAGCACTTCCCCAGTTCTTTTTGTGTCAGAAGTGCCCTAGCACACGGTCCACTGTCACTGAAAAAAAGATACCTTACGTGTAGTGATGGCATCTATAGAAAGTATGCTTTAAAACTGCTATATTCTTGATGAGTCCAGGCTTGAGGGACAGAATTGGCCTCTGGGTAGATGTTGTCCCAAAGTTTGATCCTCCCCAGGGATTTAGGGATGATAAAAGCTTCACAGCGGGCATTGAGGCTGCATCCCTGGGAGCTGAGTACCAGGGGCTCTGGGTGGAAAGGAAAAGGGGTGGGGGAGTTGGGTGGGAAGTATCAGTGAGCAGCAAGCCTTGGTGGGCTCCGAGGGCTGGGTAGATGAGAGCATTCAGTGGAATAGGAAGATGAGGAAAAGGAAGGGCAGTCATCCACTCAGTGGGCAGATGGGGGCAGCTGTCAAAAGGACTGTGATGGACCCTGGTAAAGTACAATATTCCAGTGTTGCAGAAAGAGGCTAGGATGGACATCTGGGCTGTAATGGAAAGAACACTGGTTTGGGGGTCAGAAGACCTTGCTTAGAAATGCTCTAGGAATGAAGACTAACTTCAGAGATATTGACTGGAGCTTAGGATAGGGAGATCAGATATGGAAGAGAAATATTCTCTATGTTGAAGTGTGCCCTGATTTGACTAGGTTGTTGAATCAGTTGCTTTGATAGATAAATATGTGTTTCAGTTCGGAAAGAAGAAGGGTAGGCATTGTTCTATATCTTAGGGTACAAGTTCATTGGCTTTCTGAGCCCTAGCCTCTACATCTTTACTCCTAGAATCTGAAGGACATCCTCAGCGACATGATACCTAAGACCTGAAGATGGGAAGAGCCTTGGCTGAAGTCACACAGCTAGTAAGAAGATGCTCACTAGTAAGTAGCAAGCCTTCCACTCTTGACCAGCAGACAGAGAAGACAAGCCCTCTTCTGTTTGGGTTTGAACAGATTGACAGAATTGCAGTGGTGACTTTTGCTTTTATGTACTAGCATACCATGCATCCTGCATGGGGTCCAGTGACCTGGGTTTGAGACCTGGGGCTGCCACTTCACTAATGCCATGACCTTGGGCAAGTCACTCCACCTCTCTAGGCCTCGTTTTTCTCTCTCTAAGGTGGGTGTATTAATACCTGCCCCACCTACTTCATTAGGGTGTGTGTGTGTATGTGTGTGTGTGTGTGTGTGTGTGTGTATGTGTGTGTAGGTATGTGTGTATGTATGTGTGTGTAGGTGTGTGTGTAGGTGTATGTGTGTGTGAGTGTGTGTGTGTGTGTGTGTGTGTATGAGGTGAGGGTGGCAGGACTAAGGGGGTGTGAAAGTCCTCAGGAGGCAGAAACCACTATCAACATATGAGGACTTCTTCCTTGTGTCTGACCAAAATCTTTCTTGCTGTGCTCCATACCCATTATCCTCTCTCAGTTCTTCCCAAAGCCTCCTACTCTGCCTCCATTGTTGAGGCCTGCTCTCCAGGGCTGCTCCCCCATTCTGGGCTCAGCAAATTGCTCAATGCTCCACTCGTGGAACCTTTCTGCAGAAGGGGAGATCCGCTGCCAGCTCTGTAGCAGCTTGGGATAGGGCTGTGGCAGTAGCGGGTACAGGGGATTTCAGGCTGACACCAGGGTCCAGGAGCCAGAGCATGAAGGAAAGGAGGGAAAGATGGAGATGGGCAGAGGAGGAAGAGAAGAGAGGGAGGATGGGAAGGAGGAAAAGGTAGGAAGGAAAGAGAAAGGAGGAGAAGGAAGAAGAGGAAGGAGGAGGGGGAAAAGGAGATGAGGTGAAAGAAGAGGATGATGGAGAGGAAGGGGAGAAGGAAGAGGAATCAGAGAGGAGAAAAGAGAGCAGGAAGGGAAAAGAAGATAGAGGGAGAGGCAGGAGCTCAGTGCTGTAGGCTTAAAAAGCCCAGACCAGTCCTTCAGCCAGCCTCCTGCTGAACTGCACATGCTGAGCCAGTGCTAGGGCATGCAGGGGACAGGAGGGTTTGGGTCAGGGGGAATGACTCCCAGTGAGCCTTGCCCTGCTAACTATCTCTTAAGGTAGCAGGACCAGCAGGAAACAGCCAGGGCCTGACCCCATTACATATGGCCTCCCAGGGATGTGCCAGACCTTCTCGGGGGAGGACTTCCCAATAAACACTAGACAAAGCAATCAGTCAGCAAACATTTATTAAGTCCTTACTGTATGCCAAACACTGTGCTAAGCGCTGGGGATACAATGGACGGCAAAACACTATCTGTGCTCTCAAGGAGCTCACATTCTAACAGGGGAGACAATAGGTACACACAAGATATAGACAGAGTAGGTGGAAGGCAATATGCAAGGGGAAGGCACTAGCAGCTGAGGGAGCTGGGAAAGGCCTCCTGCAGAAGGTGTCCCTTGGCCTGAGCCTTGAAGGAAGTCACAGAGTCTAAGAACCATACACTCATCAGACGCCTGCTGTGTGCATGGCACCGTACTGGGCACAAAGAGTGATACCACTTTCTCCTCTCCCACTCCTTCCTTCTTCTTGCACTCACCAAGACCTGGCTGTGGTTGCATATTTCCCTACTCTTCCCCCCCACTCATGTCCCATCCTCCCCTTCACTCCCTCATCAAGGTGGAGGAGTTGGAATACTCCTTGCTCCCCACTGCCATCTCCCTCTACCACCAACACCCCATAACTTTTCCTCCCTTGAGGTTCACTCAATCCATGTTTCCCACTGAGTCAAGGTTCTAGCTAACTTAATGAGAAAAGGGTATTAAAGGACAAGGGAGACAAGCCCATCTGGCAAACAGATAATATTACTGATTGAAGTGCAGATAACATACACATACACACTTGCCATCCATCATTTCTGACTAGTATTTAATTACCCATGACCAAATTCTTCCTTCACGTGCTCTGGCCTGGTCACATACTCTGCATGGCTAAGAAAGTACTTCACAGTTATTTCTGTCAATAGATAGAAAATATATGGCAAAAATATACACACAAAAATAAATAATCATTATAGTCCTCAGATGACTAATATTATTCAAGTTAATTGTGGGGACTTTTTGTTGTTGTACAACTAGACTCTGAATTAGTTTTGTCTTTCTAGCAACTACAAAAGCACAATCTTATTTCTTCAAATTTAATTGGGTATAAAATATACCTAAGGTGACTTTGCTCTCTTTGGACTTTCTATTATAAAGTTGACTTGCAGAATCATCAAATCAAGCACATGGTAAACATGAAGATATTAAAAGGTGGGGGGTGGGGAGAAAGAAGAAATGTTAGTGGAATTAAAAGGTGGAAAGGAGATAAAAGGAAAGATGCTGTCAACAGAACTTCAGGCTGACGCTCCTTGGATGCCAGCTCCCTGACAGATGTTGAAAAGCCAGTCACAGGGGACTTTGCTGAAGGGTGTAAAGCTGGATTAAAACATTTAGTCAGTCACAGATCTAATACATATACCAATTTAAAACCAAGAACACTGGAGGTGCTTAGAAGATGAAAGACCAGGAAAAGAAGTCACTAAGTTCTTCTTTTCCTTGTTGGGTTAGCTTAAGCCGAGTCAACAATTTACAGCACAGTGAACGTACTCTGCTCCATGGGTCCAAAACAGGGAATGCTATGTGAAACTGGCGGATGATCACTTTTCAGGCAAACATCAAGGAAACTCCAACCTTCTAGGAAAACAGGATCTGAGCCCATTCACTCTCCATAGGGGTAGAATTGATGGTCCTCAACCTCAAATGGCGGCATATCTTGCATGCTGGAAGAGACAAAAATGAAACAAGACATGAAGTTACAGTCAGTGCTTGTTAATCTGGGAATGGGAGGAGAGGAAGGATGGGTGCCAAAATAAGATCAACTAGATATATTTACCAAAAGATTGAGTATGATATGGATTTTTCCCCACAGTCACACATACTTGCTAAAGGTGGATTAATTAATACACTGTAAAATTCAACCTGAAAGCTCTTCTACTTATCAGGATCTGTGGTAGGAAGGAATGGTTATAATTAGTACTGAAAAACAAAAGAGAAAACAGGTTGAGAAGGCAGGGTTAAAAAAAAAAAAGCCTTATTATGTATTGTCCAAGTGATTTAACCGGAGATAAAAACCTGTATAAAAGCATGTGTTTAGGCGTTAAAAAAAATAAAGTCCTATTTTCTATTTTACCTCATGAATGTTTGCTGGTCTCCTCTCCATACTGGTTCTCTGCCATATTGGACATACTGGACATATTGGACATTCTGGACATCCTGGATGCTGTTCTGGAAACTGTTCTGGTAGCTGTTCTGGAAACTGTTCTGGTAGCTGTTCTGGAAGCTGCTAGGGTAGCTGCTTGGGTAGCTGTTCTGGAAACTACTCTGGATGGTGTTCTGGAAGCTGCTCTGGACAGTGTTCTGGCCACTGTTCTGGGCATTTTTCTGGACGTGGGATGCCCCAGAACCAAGGCCATACAAGTATCCAGAATACTTGGCATCGTCAATGTGGTCTTCGAAGAACATTTCTCTCATTTTGAAAAAGGCCATACCCGTGAGCAAGGAATCGGACCCCGCCTGGTGCTGGGAGCCAATGCGCTCCAGCTCCAGCTGAGTGGCCACTTCCTGCAGTCCACCCCTGAGGTTTCTGCAGCTCTTCATGAGGTACTTGATGTCATAGATGACGGGAAAGAAGAGTCGAAGGATCTCGAAGAAGTCGTGGGCTTCTTCGGGCAAGGGAGAGTTGGTGAGGATCTTGATGAAATAGCCAAAGTCATAACCACTGTGGAAGGAGAGCCACTTGACCCCTTCACACAGCACCACTCCTGATGTCATCAGGAGCTCCGCAAAATACTGTGCCTCGATGCCCTCCTCCTCGTGCTTCTTGAACTGGATCCCTGACATGGTGAGGAGCTCGATGGAGTCTTGCGCATACATGTCCTCCTTCAAATTGAATTTGAAATTGAACTGCCACGTGGAGGTTCCTGGAGGGCACTCTCCTTGCTCATTCATAAACGTCAGTCCCAGCTGGATGATCTTCAGCCAGTCCACATTGCATCTCAGCAGCTGATACTGGTAGTCGGCATAGCTTCTGAATTCCCCCACGGGTCTGGCCACCACACCTGGGAACTCCGTGTCCATAGCTACGTAATTGTACTGCTGGATAACGGGTCGCATTTTCTTCATCTCCTCGTCCAGGTTGCAAGCCCAAACTTCCCGGATCCGCGGGCTCTGGTCGGCATGGGCAGCGGGCATGGTGGGCAGAGGCGGGGCGCGCGGCGCGGGGGCTTCGGGCGCCAACAGGCAGCAGCTCCTCATCCGGCGGATCCAAGATTCGCCTCCTAAAGCACCTTTCTAGTCCTCCTGTACTTTGGTACCTGCGCCGGGGCCGCTGCGGTCGCGCTTCTCCGCCTCCTCTGCCGCCTCCTCCTCACCATAGAGACGGCCTTCCGTGGCTGCGCCCCCTACCTTCCGTCCGTCCCTCCCTCTGCTCCTTCCTCCCCCCCCCCGACGCCCCCCGCTGGCCGCCTGGGGAAGGAAGGAAGGGGGCGCGGGAGCCGCGTGGCGCTGCCCCTCCCCTCTTCTCCTAGGCTCTCCAAGTCGAAGTCCAGGGAGAGAGCTGCGCGGTGACGTCAGCCTGCCTGTGTGCCCAGAAGATGCTGGACTGATGGCTCTTCTTCTCGCGGATTACGGGCGATGTGCGCGCGTGTCTCTAGGAGACCCCCGCAGAACGTCAGCCCCCCGCGAGGGGAGGGGAGGCAGGCAGGCAGGCAGGGGAGGGGAGGGGAAGGGAGGGGAAGGGAGGGGGTTCTTTCGTGCTGGGGCGGCGCGGTGTCGCCGTACCTCGCGTGCCGTGCCGCGCCGCCGTGCAGTCCCACCACCCTGCGCCCCCGCCCTCGTCCTGTCCCTTCCACCCCTGCCCAGCCCCGGGCCTTTTGGATGTGATGATGGAGGGATGGAGGGACGGAGGGCAAAACTCTTTTAACTACCCCCCTCAATTTTAATTTCCATACGAAGAGACCTAGGGAAGGACTTCCTTATTATGCGAGTTAGCCCAGTGATGTCCAACCCTAACCTGAGACAGTGAATGAACGAATGAATAAATGAACGAAGGAACGAATGAATGAAGCAAGGAAGCATTTCCTATGCTCAAAGCACTATGCTAAACCCCCAGGGATGGGAGGCTATGAAAGGAAGACAGTCCCTGCTCTCAAAGAGCTAGAGTTCTAGTGGAAGCTAGCTAACGTTCAATATTTCCTGCCAGTTAAAGCCTAATCAAATGACCCCCCTCCCTTTCAGGCTTGACAAGATGACTTCCCTAAATCCATGGTGAAAATCACGGTCCACAGCTCTTTCTGTACCCCTCCTCACACATATCCAGAGCGGATGGATGGGAATGCTCCCTGAGGGACTTCAGCCTTCCAAATAGGGGCTTCATTACGGCAATTATTATCCTTAATAGGAGCATCATCACATCACTGTGTGTTTCCACAGGGAGCCCCTGGCCTTCTGCCACCAGTACACCTGCCACGGGGGCTATATGGGTGCCAAGGCCGTGCTGGAAATCATGCCCCAGGTCCCAGGGCTGCACCTCTGAGACTCGCACGAGATTGTGTGGGTAAAACATTTGTAAACTTTAAAGCACTATATAAATGTGAACTGTTTTGAGGGTGGGGGACTGGCTGAAAGAGGGAGAAGACCACGTGGGGGAAAGATGCAAAATGTCTGATTTAGGCCAAGTTTCAGGGAAAATTTCCTAGGGATGAGAGCTGTTCCAAGCAGGGATGGGCTGCCTTGCAGGTGGGGGTTCCCCTTTCCAGCAGACGCTGTATGATCCCTTGTCAGTTGTGTTATATCCGGGACTCCTTTTTCTGTGTGAGTTGGCCTAGATGGCCACTGAGTTCCTTTCCCACTATCAGTTCTCTAATTCTTTTGTAAATACCAGAGTGCTGGACTTTGGCATTGGGAAGACCTTGGTTCAGATTCCACCTCTGAGGCTCAGTCTCCTCATCTGTAAAGTGGGCATTGTAGCTGCCTTACAGGGTTGTTGCTCATAACGTTTAAAGTGACTGGATCCGGTGCTGTCCAGAGCCTCTCTGCTACCCACGTTCTGCTGGCAGAGGAAATATTGGTGCCAAGGGCTATTCTTTTTTTTCTTTTTAAATTTTCTTTTTATTTTCAGTTCCAAATTCCCTCCTTCCTTCCACCCTTCCCTTGCTCCTTCAGAAGGCAAGAAACATCATACCTGTAATATGTATGAAGTTATGCAAATCATGTTTCTGCATTATCTATGATCCAAAAAAAAGTAAGAAAAATAAAGGAAAAAAGTATGTTTCAGTCTGCATTCTGAGTCCATCAGTTTTCTGTCTGGAGGTGGGTCATATTTTTCATCATAAGTCCTTTGGATTTGTGGTGGATCATTTTATTGATCATAGTTATTAAATCTTTCACAGTTGATGTTGATGATCATTACCATATTGCTGTTACTGTGTACGTTATTGTCCTGGTTCTGCTCACTTCACTTATTACTTGTTCATCCATTCCCCAGTTGATGGGCATCCCCTCAGTCTCCAATTCTTTGCCACCAGAAAAAGACCTGCTATTAAAAAAAAGACCTTTGCTATCCACATTCCTACCACAGAGGAAATGTTGGTGCCAAGGAGCATTTTTGATGCCAGTCTCACATGCCCTGTCCTCTTTTCATGGGTACCTGTGTCCTCCCAGAACTGCCTTCATGTTCAGTGCTAAGGTTGGGTTACCACGCATTGCATTTGAAATCTTTCAGAGGGGCCATGCCGTGCCTCAAGCCCCCACCACAGGCCTTATTTTCCCTCCCACCATCAGTCTGCATGGCCAGCCTCTATCTCCTAGACCTATTTCCCCTCTCAGGTCATAGAACTATCTTATGAAACCAACAACCCCAACCTCTCATCAACTCTCCATTAATCCTACAGATATTTCCTTGATTGGGGGTTTGAGCAGCATCTGCTGGTTTGAAGTGTGTTCTTTATTTGTCCCATATACTCTCAGCTTTAGTTGTCCAGCTATGTTGTCTTTTCTAGGCTTTATCATTGGAAGAGAAAATTTGTAAAATAATAATTATTGTTATTGTTATTGTTATAAATATATACTGCATGTGGCTGGGTTCTTTTTTTTCCTTACAGACCCTGATGAGAAGAACCGGCAGAGGTTATCCAGGAGAGTGAATCCAGGCATGAGCAAGGGCACACAACTATTAAGTAGAGTAGATTTCAGAGCTTCCCTAAGAGGAGAGGGGATTACCCACTCACATCTTGGCACCTGCACTTTCTGGCATCACGACCTTCTGAGAGAATGAACTAGACAAAAACAAGACTCCTGTGGATGGTTTCTGCCTCTCTGTCTCTCCAGGTAAGACCACCCAAGATCCAGGCCTACCTCCATGAAGCCTTCCTGAACTATTTTGTCCCACAGAAGTATGTTTCCTGTTAATGTCAATGCCATCTTCCTAAGACACCCAGGCATAGAACATTGGAGTCATTTTTGACTCATAGAATGAGAGAGAAAAGAGAAGTATAGGACCAAGGTTTCTCCAAGGGTCAAGGCAACAGGGAAGGAGAAGGAACAGGATAAGCCAGGAGAGTGATTCCAGGCATGAGCAAGGTGAAGCATGGCTTGGGATCTTAGAGGCCATCCTATCTAACTGCCTAATTTTACAGATGAGGAAACTGAGGCACAAAGAAGTGACTTTCCCAGGGTCTTATAGCTAGCAAGTATCTAAGGCAGTATTTGGACTCAGGTCTTCCTGATTCCACTCCCAATTGCTCTATCCTCTGTACAACCTGACTGCCTCTTCCCTGTCCATCACCTTCACATCCATTCTGCCATCATATCCTGATATTTCATTCCCCTTAACATCTCTGCATTCTGTCCCCTCCTTTCTCCCCCCAGTGCTGTCACTTTAGGAAGGGCCATTGTGTCTTCTGGCCTTTAATATCATGTTGTAATCCTAACTGGTTTTTCTGCCTTAAGGAAGTTGAAAGATGACTGACCCTGGAGACAAAGGACATAGATTCAAATTCTGCCTTTGACATTTATTACCTGTGTGACTTGGGCAAGTCACTGCCCTCTCTGGGCCTCATATTCCTCCTCTGTAAAATGCAGTGGGTTAGGCTACACTTGATTGTGGCCTTTAAGCCCATCCACAATTTGGCATCTGGAATGTACTCTTTCCTTATCTCTGATTGTGGCCTTTAAGCCCATCCACAATTTGGCATCTGGAATGTACTCTTTCCTTATCTCTGCCTCTCAATGTTTGCCTTCGAGTATCTCAGCTCAGGAGACTTCTTTAGGAAGCCTTTCCAAACCTCCCACATGTTCCCTTTACTTGTTAATCTGTATATAACTTGTGTTTTTCCCCTGTTGGGATGTAAGCGTCTTGAGGGGAAGAACTGTTTCTTTTTTGTCTTAGCATCTTCTGCACTTGGAACAGGGCCCCCCACTACCACCCCCCCACACAAAGCAGGTGCTTAATAAGTATTCCTTAAAATGAAGTGTAGTCAGGCTCTACCTGTGCCTAACAAGTTGTCAGATACAGTAGGGGCTTAATAAAGACACCTTGAGTAAGAAAAAGCTTAGCAATTAATAAAGGCTTGTCAAAGACAAAGGATTCAGGTGCTGGCTTAGAGACTGACTGCCAAGCTTCCTGGTGCATGGGCTTCTGGCAGAGAATTGGTTCCTCAAACAAATGAGTCTGCTGAGAAGGTGGGGAAGAACTTCCTACTCTCACTTCCCACATGATTAAAGTCAACACCAGAGCTAAAGCTCACCTGCTGCAGAGGTGGTCACTCCCCAATAAGACACCACCAGTAAGGGCTCTTTGAGGGGGAATATGGGTCATCAGAGACAGAATCCTCCCACTGGAGCTGGCTTGACCAGGAATGTCTATTTCTCCACGGAGGCTAAGTGGAAAGCATCCAGATGGAGTGAGACACTGATGCTTCTGCAAGTGTTAGTGTGAGCCTCTCTCTCTCTCTCTCTCTCTTTCTCTCTCTCTCTTTCTCTCTGTGTCTTTCTGTCTCTCTCTGTCTCTGTCTGTCTGTCTGTCTGTCTGTCTCTCTCTACCTCTTCTCAAATGGCCTTGTACATGTTGTACAACTATGTACATGTTGTTTCTCCCAGTAGAAGGTAAGTAAACTCCTTGAGGGCAGGGACTGTGCATTTTTCATCTTTGAATTTCCCGCACTAACACAGTGACTGGTACACAGGATAATAGATCTAAAACTTGGAGGGACCCTTAAAGGCTATCTTCTTGTCCCAAGTCATCATTTTACAGATGA